CTGTATTGAGCTTTCTGGCTGAAGCTCCGCTTATCGACATGTGTAGTGGTTTGTGTGGAACTGCGTGTGTTCCTGTGCACTTAATTATGAGTTATGCATTATAATTATCACCACAGTAGACAGCTAATTGTCCATATAGGCGGATTTATTAGAAATGTATTTGTGTATTACCTTCACCGAGCTGCTCAAAGCTGAACCACAAATTACCAATGCATTTACGTATTTCAGCTCTTAGCTACATACAAATGACCAGTAGGAATACAGTCTGAAACCATTACTTAAGTGATGTTAAAAACAATTAGTCTGATAGCAGCAGTTCTGTGGTAGCATCAACTGAATTTCATCAACTTTTACTTTTGCAGAAACAAAGCTTTATGATCCACTCGGAAGCATAGCTGGCTTTTGTGTGTTTCTGGTTCTGGCTCCTTTAGAAAGTGCTTCTGCGAATTAGCTGGCTTGTATAAATCTCACATCGTATCTGCTCACTGATCGATACTTCATTGGAAGGATGTCTAGCTCCTGACGTTGTTCCAGCAGAAGGTGAAGGCCAGGCAACTGAATATATTCAGTGATAATTGAAAATTATTCCAAGCAGAAACAAATTAGTGGAGCAGAGGAGAACAGAGAGGCAGCAGGTGGCTTAGTGGTTAAGGACCTTCATCTGAGACCAAAAGGAGGAGCTTCCACATTTACATTCATATTCACCCTAAGCAGCTTCAGTGAAAATACCCAAGCGGAAAGTGAGAAATTGTTTTATAAGTACGATTTATAGGTAATAATCAAGTGATAATGAACTGTGTATATGTGTTTGCAATTGTTTTTTTTTTTTAACTGGAGCTTCTTTTTGCTGGAAAATTACAATGTATCACTCACTGCATAAAAAAAAACATTTAAACTGTTTTAGATGTGTAATTTTAACATTTTTTAGCAATTCTGAATATAAATCCTCTGAAATTCTTCTTGTTTTTATCATAATCTTGATTAGTCATTAAAGGTTCACCGTGTTGGGATATTTCTGTGGCAAATCACTGGAAAAAAGGCAACTTCAATACAATTTGTTATTCACAGTAAGGTGCAGGTTTAAAATAATACGACTTTGTGCAATAATTTGACTGCATATCATATTTTAATATACAGTAAGAAGTGTAACGTTTGAATTTGCTTTCCAACTGTTCATATTATTCAGTTTATATTGAAATAAGAGTTGAACATTTTACCAGCGGCTGATTCCACCCCCGTTTTCAAGCCAGTGTAATATTTGATTCCAGACTCAAGTCCGTAATCAGCAGTGCAACCAGAGAAGTTAAAAACTGCAAGGGAGGCAACTTCTCATTGATAGGGCTGTGAATACAGGCAACCAGAAACTTTTGGCCACCGGTTAACCTGGCTATTTAATGACCTGCTCTCACAGCAGGACTGATACAACCCAATCAGCAAATGACTGCCCAATTTTATATAATGTTCTAAGCTTCAGATGTAGATTGATAAAAGCATGTCTGTGATATGAAGTTGGAATGCATTAAATTTTGATATTGTTACCACAGATAGAGGCACATGGGAAATAGGTTTATTTTGGATGCACTACTGGGACAAAAGTATTGGGACACCTGGCCATTACACCTACAGGAACTTTTATGACATCCCATTCTAAATCCATAGGCATCAATATTCTGTGCTTCCTACTTTGTGGGAACAGTTTCAGGTGTTCCAGCATGACTGTGCCACAGTGCACAAAGCAAGTCCATAAAGACATGGTTGGGTGAGTCTGGTGTGGAAGAACTTGACAGGCCTGCACAGAGGCCTGACCTCAACCACATCGGACACCTTTGGGATGAACTGGAACGGAGATTGCGAGTCAGGCCTTCACGTCCAACATCAGTGCCTGACCTCACAAATGTTCTTCTGGGTGAATGGAAAACAGACACACTCCAAAACCTTGTGGAAAGCCTTCCCAGAAGAGTGGCAGCTGTTATAGCTACAAAAGGGGGACCAACTCCATAGTGATGTCTATGGATTTATAATGGGATGTCATAAAAGTTTCCATAGATGAAATGGCCAGGTATCCCAATACTTTTGTCCGTATATGTGGACATTTTTCTCTGGTTTTGGAGATAATGATCACAGAAAAATTTATGTTGACTGTAGTTTTAAGAAAGCCAAAATTCATATTAGTTCTCATAAGAACAATTCTTTGCTTTTTTACTTTTCATCTGTTCACATTGTTCAGTTTATATTGAAGTTACTCTGATTAGAGACTGGTATTTTGTGGGAATGTAATCAAACTTCACCCTTTATCTTTTAAGCTCAACATAAAATGCTTTGAAGAATACTTTATTTATAAGCACTTATGTAGACATCTACTTGTTTTTTTCTGTAGAATAATGCAATACAAAGTGATTGTTTTTGCTTAAAAGACTTAATTGTAAAAGCCAGCTAATGATTAAAAATAAAACGATTCTGCTTCAGGACATTAATTGTTACATCAGGTGTCTTTGGGTTTGGGTCAGAAGATGAAAGGATTCATCTGTCTGCACTAGGTTTTTGCATTAAAGTTTCGGGCAATATTTTCCAGAATTAATTTAATCCAAATAATTTCTAGTTAATTACCTGCTGTAACATTTTTTTTTCTTGGTGTATTTTTTTTCTGCTTCTCTGGATTCCTGTTCGTCTACTAGATGCGGGTGGCCTGTCATTCTGGAGCTGTTTGGAGTGCATGCAGTGGTCCGTTTTTGACTTTGCTGTGTTTAGTCTGCCCTTGGGATCTTTGGGGTCCATTTAGTAGTAGACAGCCATGCATTATTGTATGGTTGACCAATGCAGTTCTGCTCATTGCACTTCCAAGCTTATAGCCGAGTTGAGGTCAGAAAATATGGCGCCAAAGCCGTCTATATATATTTTTCCCCAAGACATCTCACAGTGTGTAATAGTGCTGCTTTGGCAGTGCTGTTGCATGATAGACAATGGTCTGTGCATTTAGTAATGGAAAGTTCAGATATTCTTTTAGCACAAATACTGCTGAATGATTGTGGAATTTGGTGACAGTTGTAAGACAGAAATGCTCTCGATCAGCTCTTGCTTTCCTATGTGTTACAAAGTGTTCCATTTGCAAAACTTGAAAAAAATATTCTTGAGGCAGGGTACACTCTGGGCCCCAGGAAGCTCAATGCACTGCAGCAAGCGATGCTTTTGTTTGCCTCTTTCTATGGAGCTTTTTTTCAGTGTTTGATTGCTCAGTTATTTAAAGGATGTGCTTAGTTTTGAGGTGTAATAGTTTTTTTTTTGGGTGGAAGGGGCTTAAAGATGACCCGAAATGTAGTAATAATGGTAACAATTATAATATCTCTCAGCTGGCTATTGTAAGGGCCTTATTAAAGTTTAAAAGGATAGAAAAAGATGTTGTTTAGAGCCCTGGTTTGTTTCTATGGTGAAAGTGCTTTCAGCATTCAGAAAGGGCAAATAAATACTCCTTAGTCAAATTATGTATGGTCTTACATGTTATCTGCTCCACCACCAGATGTTTGAATGTCCGTCGTCCTTGATTCTCTGTGTTCTCCTCAGCATTCAAGCTCCATCAGTCGATTTGAATTAAGGCATAATGCAATATGCATGATTTGTTCTGAACCTTGAGAGGGCAGTTGGCGCTCGTGAGGAAGCCCTACCTGTGATTATGTTGCAGACCGGTCCTTTGAGTATGGGCAGCTACAGGAAATTATATCAAAAGATAAAGGTATCCAGTGGTCTCTTGCACAAAGCCTTAGTGTGGCAGTCCTGTGAGGCCAATAGCCATTCCCAGCTCAGGCTGCACTGAAAAGCAGCAGGAGAGACACGATGTTTGGTTTTCGAAAGATTCTGGAGTTTTTTATCGGTCAACGAAAGTCTGGATCCTACCGAAAAGGGTCCCGGAAGAGCTACAGCTATGCAGTTTCAGATGGCAGGTACCTGTAGGACTGGCTGTGAGGCTTTAATATGCAGTGTACTGTTAAAACCGAAAGCTGTGATGCTCTTCTAACTTTGCTAAAACTGAAAAAAGGAGATGCATGGAATGTGGTTGGCTTCTCACTATATGCTTAAGAAAGTATTTAACTTCAGATACTTTTATATTGTGTTCTGCCTTACAAACTCATTTTTGTAAAATGTGATTATAATAATTTCCATGGTTTTGAAATTACATTTGGTTGCACGAGGTTTGTTTCCTTTAATATATACAGCCACATTTTATGTAAGCAAAATGCATAAAATGCAACTTGTTAGCTCATGCTTATAATTAATTTGAAATATGTAGAACCTGAGTAATTATTAGGTAAATGTATCCTGCTTGCTTGTTACCCATGTTGTAATATGTCAGGCATAAAAATTTGCAAAACCATTACCAGATTGATTGTGTTATTTGCATGTGTTTTTGAAAAGACAATGAAATCGCAACACAATTGTAATGGGATGTTGTCTCTGAGAGATTTCATGACCTAAAATGTGAAAATTGTCATTATTATGTATTATCCAGTTCCTGCAAGCACTATAGTCCCAGTTAGTCTTATTTAATGACTAATATGGTTATGCTATATCTTACGGTTTTCTTGTGAAACAAAGTGTTTGAACTCAACACTTAAAAAAAAAATACTAAAATATTTAAAAATATTTAAAGTATTTTTAGTGTGTGTGGGGGGTAACTGTTGTTGTTATTGTTTTCCTTGATTAATGATTATTTCAAGTGGGGTCCTCGTGACATGCTTTAGAGCTTTCTAGAATATTGTTTTTAAAAAGTCTCACACTGGAAAAGTGGCTTTTTGTAAATATTGTGAAAGCAAAATCATGTCAGCTTGTCAGCTAAAAATGAAAAGTGTTGGCTCTAGGGGCCTCGTCGAAAGAACGTGCTGTTTCTAAGATAATCTTGAAAAACATTTGTGGCAAAGCTAAAACAGTTGATGAGTATAAAAATATCATATCACATTGTCTATTTGCTAAAGATATTTGATTAAGATGGGGCACGTTTCTGTCTCCAGATGTCTGGATGGAGAAGACGTATTCCTGTCGACATCCACAAAGCCTCTGTCCCCTGTCTTGGTAGCGTCCTCTACCCCTCGCTCAGCACACACTGCACGGGGTGCCGACCAGGGAGCAGTGAGCGTGCGGAAGCGACGCCGCGTGGCTGCCAGTCCGGGTGGACTTCACTGGAACTCCTCAGGTAAAAGATCCCGTCCTGCTCCCACAACAGTTTTCCATCACTGGCAGCTGAGCTGAACTTTCCATCAACTTTCCGACCTCTGCTCTTATTTTAAAGCAGGAATGAACAGATCTGACCAGAGGCATGATCCAAGCCGTGCAAAGGCAACATTTCAATGAGATATAAAAACATAGTTTCATAGTTCCTGCCAACATTTTAATGGGAAAACAGTTTTGCCAGCATGGTAGTAAATAACAGTAGTATGAAGACATGCATTTTAGAGCATAGATGAGGACAGCAACTGCCCGCTCATTAGTGTTGTGTAATGAGGGTACAGTTTGTCCACTGTTGGAATTACCTTTGCTACTCAATCCTCAGTTAACTTCAGAGCAATAAGAAATATTGGATGTATCCACCTTGTAAGTGAACCTCAAACTGTATGTTATGTCTAAGAAGGTTTAAAACAACAATATTTTGCCATAAAATAATCTTTTGCCCCTTGGATCTCTCCCTCAAACATTAATATATCTGTCAGAAAACACCTAAAAGATGGAGTTGTGTTTTTGGTTCAACTTTTATATTCCACATTCAAAGATATTATACGTAGTACAATACTCAGATGACTATTTTAAGACAGTTTAATCCAGTGATGTTAAAATGCTTGTTAAAAAGTCAAAATGATGTACTTTGCAGGTAAAAAGGTGGGGAAAATGGAACCATAGATATGATTACCTCAGACGGGGTCTTTGGATTCCAGAAATTGAGCCCCTTAGGCTCTGATTCATATCTGCAAAATAAATATTTTATCAACTCGGCCTGTTGGTGGGACCATTCTGGCCAATCTGCTGTGTAATTGAGCTGTTTGAGGTCAGAGATTATGTTCCACTTCTATGTAAGTGATTGAGGTGTCATTGCACAGTCTCTGTGGGTGACAACACAAACAATGGTGTGGATGTGGCTCACTTCATGGAGCTGAATCCCCATCAGCTTTGCTTAGAGTGTGACAGGACAAAATCTCTTTACCGCCTTGTAAATATCACGGTGTCCCGTGATCTTTAAGGATGCAGCCATCTGAGCATCATTCTGTTAAATCTCAACTTGAAATCTTTTTCCTTATGCACAATTACATGTAAAACATTCAGTATGCAGCAGGTGGGAGAGACTTGACTTTGTGTTCGTCAGAAACTTAATTATTTGAGACAAATACCTATATAATTTTTACTTGTGCATTTCATTTTAGGGTAAATTATGCAGGTTTAGGCATAAAAATAAAACCTGTGCTATACTGGGCATATAATTCTACAAACTTTGCATGGGTTTTACCATGTATAATGCCTAGGGCCTGCACTACAGTATTCGATGACTTTTTTTGACCATTTTTGAAGCCTCTACAGCCTATTCCCAATAAATACAACTTGACTTTATATAGAAATAGCCAGCTTCTAGTTACATCATCTTCAGAGTGGCATTACTAGAAATGTAAAAGTGTGATATTGCTGTCCTGGGTGTTTGAGCCTAATATCATAATAAAATCCAGTGATGTGCACTACACCATGAGACTAATGGACCTCCCACTCAGCAAAATGACTGTTTCATCGCACAAAAAAATCACCCAAGGAAATAGCCTAGCAAAGCATTTAAACCCCCTACTGTACAGAAGTGTCTAGCAAAAACATCATTATGTGTTGTAATGGCCTCTAAGGCTGTTATCTTCAAAAGGATAAAACTTACATGTTATACAGAAATACATGAAAAAACACTTGCAGGTCTGGCTAAGAGTCAAAAAATACTGTTCGATATTACATGTGAGCAAAATGTTTACTACTATAGTTTATTCAATACATAGTGTGTTACATAGTTAAAACAGACAGTACAATTTTATGTTAATTCATATAATATGCCGGTACATAATTTTAGTGCCTAATGGTTTGGATCCTACGTTGAGATATAATTCAGAATGACATTCTGTGCCCTATTGTGTACACTTTGATACAGGATGTATTAATAAGAGTGGACTGTGTATGTGTTTTAATTAACATGCCTCATCTGTGTCTTCAAGGTCAACATCCCTATTAGTTGGCATACCAACTCTATCTATCTATCTATCTATCTATCTATCTATCTATCTATCTATCTATCTACATATACAGTGCTCACAGAAAGTCTCAGTAAAAAGATTCAGTAAAAATCCTACTAATTTGTTGGTTTTATGACAAAATAATCATTGTTTTTATTCATTTGTCTACAAAATATACAAAAAGTAGTTTTAAGTGAAACGTTCATTTCAAGTAGTAATAAATTGAAACCCAAATTACAGCTCTAAAGGAGCTGTTCTGAGTTACAAAACATTCATTGAAAAACAGTCTCATTGGGTGCTTTTTAATTAGCAACACCTTTGTAATAACATAAAACACCACACATTTGCATTTAGTATTCCTTTGGGAGAAAGTGACTGAAATTGCAATTAATAGCAAAATGGCAAGAACAAAATTGAATCAGTCAAAAAAATTATGATAATTAAAATAATCTTTGTGTGGAAGATCTGTGCAGATATTTTAAACATTGCTTGCCAGTGTACTTTTGTTGTGAAACCAATACATTTGCAAAAATAAGCAAGCATCCCAAGACTTTATATGAGCACTGTAGAGTACCAGTCAAAAGTTTGGACACAGACTGTGTAGTTATTTTTTACTATAAAATACTGTATCACTCTGCTTTGTCAGAGACTTGGCATGTCCAAACTTTTGACTGGTACGGTATATTCATTTAATGCTGATTATAATAAACAGCCAAAGTATTCTGAATAATATGATAAGAACTACAATATAATACTATTTCATGCTTGTTTTATTGAAAATGACTTGTTATTCAATTTTTCCAAGAGAGTGTAGAGATAATATCAGTATTATTTTATGTTTCTTTTTGCTGGGAATGTCCTGAGTTTGGTTCTTAAATGTTTTCCAAAATCCTGTTTGTCTTCTATGATCCAATAGAGGGTGCTGTAATTCAGTGGTTCAGGTGCAGGTACACACAGAATCCTCATTTTGTGCAGAATTTAGGGGGAGTGTTGTCATCTTACACGACCACTGAGCTCAGTGCATTTAGATAGTGACCGATTACTTCCAAGGCATCTTTGTTAATACAAATATATACTTTTGGATCCCGTTCCTGTCATACAAGCTCACTCTTATTTACTTTTTGAACTTTGGCTCAATCAATAGATTGATTTTGTTAGTAGGAAGTAGTACATTTAATTATGACCAAATTTTTATGTTCAGTACTTTTGGGGCCTCTTCATCTCAAAATGTGACTGCGGGAGTTTCCAGTGCATCACAGGGCACATGTTATGTTTTTTTGCAGAGATTGGAAAGGAACAGACTCAAGGTCAAGATTCGAATCCATTATTCTAGGTGTGTGTATCCATGGTGACACCCAGTGAGCCATTATAGCACATCTTTCACCAAATGTTGTTAAAGGTTTGAAAATCTGACTTCACCATGTCATAGTTGGATAAGGAGAGCTCGGTACATGGAACTGACATCTCAATCACTGTTGTTCCCTCTTTCAAATATACATCCCGCATATGTAGCAGAAGGCATTAAAATGGACTGATTCAAAAATCCTAGACTATTACATAACAGTCTTAACTACGCCCCCAAACGCAACATACACCAGCCCACGTTCAAGCCTACTGGACCTGCAGAACCTGCGGCATATATTTTCTGTCTCGAAGGTCATGCATGCCCAGTTTCCACAAGTGCACCTGGTGGGGAAAATATATATACTGACAGCCAATGATGTAAGGTTATTCATTACTAGTAGGCTAAGATGGTAAGTCCTATTCAGGAGTACAGTATGTTTTCCAGTCGCATGGTTCCAGTTATGTAAGTTGCTAACTTTATTAGCAATTATGCTTTTGGGAAATACACCCCAGGTTAGCAGGGGAGTAGTAAACAACATTATTAAGTCTGTGATACTGACATTGACAAGAGACTTCTGTGCTGCCTGTAGCCTCCTTTTGGTTAGCTAAACAAATACCTAACTCGAAAGCAGAAGTTCAAATTCATAGCAAGCAGCAGTTACTCGCTGCTCAGCTGGCTGTTTGGAGTACTTGGTAAAAATTGCATGACAAAATTAGCATTGCAAAATCATTAGTTGAATAAGTGCAAAATAATTACAATGTTCTTGTTACAATGTTACAATGCTAAAAACAGTTATGACTATGCTAGTGTTGGTTGTTTATTATTATTATTATTATTCAAGTTGATTGCGTTATACTTTTACACACCAGGCAGCGCAGTAGGTTTCTTTACACCAGCATCACCACAAACACGTGAGTAATGCATCGCGCTATGATGTCACTACGCTGAAGGAATTTTTGTAGCTCCGTTATAATCTTATGGGACCGCTGTCATAAATGTGGTATGTCATTGACCAAAATGTGATTATATGGCACATGACTGTAGAGATGTTAGTTATGTGTGAGCCATCATAGCGCCTTACTCCAACCCAGCCTATTAGTGCAGAGCTTATCAACATATTAATGAAATTACCAAACAGAAATGGGAAAATGGTTTGCTTCATTCTAAGGCCAAATAATGCGGTTGTAAATGGGCCTGTTAAACTGTTTCTGTGCATTTTTCGACCAAACCAAGTTCATATTCCTTCAATGTAGAAACCTCAGAACAATTTAAAATACTGGAAAAATGCACTCTTTGGCACCTTTAACGTAATGTATTTTTATTTTTTTTTTTTAATTTTGGAAATGAGGCCACTTTTACATATTTTCTAATTGCCTTTCAATTTGCAACTGGCTGAATAAATCATGTATAGAAAATCTGATACGCTAAGAAATCTGATGGTTGGTAGTTTTAATTTCCTTCCATGTGCTGCAGGCATCCCGAAATCTAGGTGTCAAAATAATTATCCCATGCAATACCTGTCTCCAAAAAACAATCTCTATAATTTGATACTTTTTTTCTTACATGTATAAGTACATAAACTACACCACTGCTACTACA